CCTTCCTTCCTTCCTTCCTTCCTTCCTTCCTTCCTTCCTTCCTTCCTTCCTCTCACTTTCATTAGCTGGAAGGAACAAACTGAAAATCCTGAAACAAAATCTGAAATAAGCAATTTTATACAGACATAAAACTATCATTCTTAATTAAGTAGCTTATAATATCAGACTTTGCATATTCACTCTTATATCATCATAAACTAGAATTATAAAATATACAGTATACTGCATATTAAGTGTACTGTATATTCTTTAACTCTGTATCATATCACATTTTAGAAATGTTATATTACTGATAATAATGTGTACTATTCAAAGTAGCATGTTGTTTGGAGGCAGAAGATATAAGGATCTGGAATATATGTTGACATTTAGAACGGAGATAATTCAGCTATGGGCATCTTCTTTTATTTAACCATGCTCAAGAAAATATCTGATAGGCACATCCTTAATCCTGCCATTTCTCTGAATTCTGCTGAAAAAAATTAACTATGTCGTTTTATAAATTTTAACAAAAACATATTAGTATATCTATTTCTATAATTCATTTACCACCTCAATCCCCATGAATTTTTTGAGGTTTTCATCACTCAAACCTGCCAATATCATCAATTCATAAAATTCAAAATGTATATCTAAATCAACCTTTTTGAAGCTGAGCATTGATGGTGACCACCATATATTTAAGAGCTTGTTTAAAGACTACATTGCAACACTAAGTTTCCCAAGGAGAAACTGTGCATAATACAGAAAAATTCTCTTTGTTAGACAATTTAGTTAGATTTAAAAGAAACTTGATTTCATAAAGGAGCCAAAAGAAAAGGAGCCAAAGTGATTAGTATAAATGCTCAATCTAATAAAACTGTTTTATTTATTTCTAATAAAACTGGCACATCAAATGTGGGACTCTTAATTAATTAATAAATAAGTAAAATAAGTTGCATGTATTTTCTAAATTGTCAATACCTAGTAATAGAGGAATATCGAGGCACTAAAGCCAGACATGTTACTAAAACTATTATTTTGGGCAAGTTTGTACTCTAATAATGAAAAAAAAATGTTATAAAGCAATGGACTATTTTCAATATAGAAAATAAATGTATAAGATTTGGTTCTTAACTGAAGTTCAGTAAATATAAAAAGGTTGATATATATAACTGTTATGTGCATAGTAAAATATGACTAGCTATGTCTAATATCTAAATTGAGTGAGAGATTTATGTTGAGTTTTGGAAACACAACATGAGAGCAGAAATTTTGTCTCTCTTTTTTTAAGAAAGATTAGTTTTTAAGAAAGAATTGGACAGCATTGATTTGTACAGAATGGTTAGGATCTTCTGCTTGTGCAGGGTATGAACTAAAAGACCTCCAAAATCCCTTCCAACTCCATTATTCTGTACTATTCTATTCCATATGTCTAATACGCTACTTCATTACTGCAGTAAAATTAGGTTTATAGTTGTAGTTTTATTCATAACAATTTTGAAATGTGGAAGTCAGGAAGTGAAAGGAATAATATATGCCCTATAATTTTATGCAGACCACACATTTCTGCATGCACACAACTGTCTTAATAAATGCAAGTCAAAATAATCAGGAAGTTATTGGTATTTTTTTATTTTGTAATGGCTAAAATTTTACATTCCAAAGAATGTTTCTAGTTAAGACTAGAAACTAAGAGATCATGAATTCTAGTTCCATCCTAGCCATGAAAGCAGGTTGCATGACCTTCAGCCAGTCACATCCACTTAGCCCAATCTTACTCACAAGGGGTTGTTGTGAGGAAAATAGGATATGATTTGGATATATTTTCTCCCTTAAGTTATTTGTAAAAATAATAAAGGTGGAATATAAATAAACAAAAAAATTGAGGCTGATATAGAGCTCGTATACCTTTGAGTTCAAGCCCAACTTTTTCTTTGCTGTGTCTCTAAGTATAAAGGGAATGATTGAATTCCATTTTTCATATTCGGTCATTAGGGACTATTGCATGTTTACACTCTGCATTCCTGCTCTGACAAGATCTTGCCGCTAATGGAATCCTGACATTAAATAACCAATGGTCCCAATTCTGACATATATTTTGAGTTTCACAGGTTCTGTTTTCACAACTATTTGTTTAAAATAACATCTAGTTTCTACCACCCATCTGCAGGTGATTAAAAATTTGGGTATTTTTGTGATTGTGAGGGGATAAAATACAAACAAACATGGTGAAGATAGCTTACCAGGCATAGTAAGAGGCAGTACTTGTAAACAGTAGTTATTTGTATTTCTTATATTATCCATGAGATGAGATTATGTTAAATAATTCTGGAGAGTAAAAATATTGTTCCATTCAGAAAAAAATAACATTTAAAAATAGTTGCCAAAGGACCAAGTTGCTATTAGAATCCTAAAATTGGTAGCAAAGGGGTGAAAATGAAATAATGAGAAATATAACTTGGTTTACTCTTCCCCATTTTGCCCTCTGTTCTCCATTAAATTAAATCTGAATATTTTTAAAACTTTTAGGTTGATTTGGAAATTCATTTCCATTCTTTTAAATCTTAAATTCTAGACAGACATTAAAGGTGATAATTTCAGTTTCAATACAACAAAACATTGAAACAACTAGTGTTAGATCTGGGAGGATGGTTCAAGAACAGAGGCAAGACTCAGATAACAACAACAGCTCTTTATTAGTGACTTCAGATATGAGTGAACTATCCCAGCCGCAGCAGCCCCTTATATAGGGCTGGCTGCGGCTAGGCAGCCAATGAAAGCGATTTGAGTTTCCGCTCTTGACAGGGCCAATCGCGGCAGCCTGTTTACTAGCCAATCGCATCAGTCTATGGCGACCAATCATGATCTGCTATTCGCGGGCCAATCAAAGTTGCAGGCTTCGAGCCTGCTAGTCCGGAACACCCCTCCCCTCTCGGTTCCATTTAAGAGGTGGAATAATATAGTCTCTCAGGTAGGCAGGTCTTTGCACCTGTCTACCTGACTTACGCAATTCCAATTGTCCATGTTCAAATTCGGGTTCAGATGGACTGTTTGCTGGATCTAGCAGGAATGGTGAACCGGTGCCATGGTTAGGGATCTCCTCTGGTGCCCCCGGGGTGATAGAGTCCTCAGCTTCGTTGCTACTGCTATGGCTCCCCGGGCACGCTGAACCTGCTTGGCTGCTGCTTCTTGGTGAAGTGTTCGTCTGCCCAGGTTCAACTACAGCTGGTGAGTATTGCAAGCTATGGTGTGGTGATCTCAGTGTTAGTTCAGAATAAACAGGTGTTGGTTCTATTTCTGGGCTCGCGGCTTCCCCTCCCCCCCGGTGTCAAAGTTAGGGTCAGGGATGGAAGTTGTGGTCAGTCTGGAGCGTAGCTGGTCAATATGGCGTTTCCACGCTCTGCCATCAGTGGTGAGTAGACGGTAGGAACGAGGACCCGTAACTTGAGTTACTTGAGCAGGAATCCAGAGGGGATCCCCAGAAATTTTTTTTTGCAAATACAAGGTCTCCTACCTTAAAGGCATGGTGCTTGCTGCTGGAACCCAGGGGCTTTCTGGGGTGTAGGCAGGGTGCAAACGGTCTAGAGGCGATCTGAGTTTCCTGGCCATCAGGAGTTCAGCTGGGCTCTTGTTAGTCGTGCTGTTTGGTGTGATGTGTTGAAGGAGCAGCATTCTAGTGACTTTGTCGTGGATGTTGCCTTGTTCCATTTTCTGTAGGGTTTTCTTTGTGAACTGAACCATTCGTTCAGCCCTACCATTTGCCACTGGATTTGCCGGTGATGTGAGTGCATGTTGGATGCCCCGTTCAGCTAGATATTGTTCAAAGGCTAAGGCATTAAATTGGGGCCCATTGTCAGAAACCAGGACATCAGGTAGGCCGTGTGTGGCAAAGAGTCTGTTCAATTTTTTGATGACTGCCTCAGTAGTGGTTGCTTTCATTTTATTGACCTCAAGCCAGTTAGAATATGCATCTACAGTTATTAGGAAAGTGTGGCCTCTAGTAGGTCCCACAAAGTCAATATGAATGCGAGACCAGGGACCCCTGAGTGTTTCCCATTCTGCTGGTGGAGCTTTTGGTGGGGCTGGGTGGTTTTCCTGGCATCTGTTACAAGAGGCGACCCAGGTTTCAATTTGTTTGTCCATACCTGGCCACCAGGTGTAACTTCTTGCCAGCGCTTTCATACGCACAATGCCCGGGTGTCCATCGTGTAGCATTTGCAGGACTTTTTTTTGTAGCTTAGTTGGTATAACAACTCGGTCTCCCCATAAAATGCACCCTCTTTGTGAGAAAAGCTCTGTTTGTCTGTTTTTAAATGGCTTAAATGTTTCCTTAGGGTTGTAGTCTGGCCATCCCCTCTCCACCCAGCCAAGAACTCATGCCAAACAAGAGTCTCTTTTGGTTTCAAAGGTGATGTCCTGGTCCGTTAGTGGAGGTGAGGGAATTGTCTCGATTTGTAGTACTGGGAGCGTGGGAGATGGGTCTTCCTGTGGCTCGGGTAGTGGCGAGCGGCTCAAGGCATCTGCGTGAGGAATAGATTTCCCCGGGCAATACTTTAATTGATAGTCGTAGGCAGCTAGAAATTCCGACCATCGCGTCATTCTGGGGAGAGAATGTGTGGGGTAGGTTTGTTGCCCGCCAGAATGCCAAGTAATGGCTTATGATCTGTGATAATAGAAAATGGTCTCCCATAAACATATTCATGAAACCTTTTAATTGCAGAGACAATAGCAAGAGCTTCCTTATCTAAGTGGCTATAGTTTCTTTCTGTTTTTGACAGAGTTCTTGAAAAAAATGCAATTGGAGCCTCTGAGTCATTTGGTAGGACGTGGCTCAGGATGGCCCCCACCCCAAATGGTGAGGCATCACAAGTAACAGTCAAGGGGAGTGTCTCGTTATATTGAATTAGCACTGCATCAGAGGTAAGGAGGTCTTTTACTTGCTGGAAGGCGTGTTCCTCCGGACGTCCCCAAATCCAGGAGGCCCTTTTATTGAGTAGTCTATGAAGGGGCTCAACAACAGTCACCTTCTGGGGTAGGAAGATGTTATAAAAGTTAATAAGTCCCAGGAAGGCTTGGAGGTCAGTTTTGTTTTTGGGCCATGGGGCATTTTTGATGGCTGCCAATTTCTTTTCTGTAGGGTGGATTCCTTGTTTGTCAAGGAGGTAGCCAAGAAACTCCACCCTTTCTGTGCAAAGCTGGCACTTTTCCTTCTTAACCTTGAGGCCAGCATCTTTGAACCTTTGTAGGACTGTTCTGAGGCATTTCTCTAATTGACTTTTTGTTGGGGCTGCTATTAATACATCATCAAAATAGGGCACGACCTTTTTATACCTTGTAATAGTCTCTCCATCAGGCTTTGAAAGATGCCTGGGGCTACGCTTACACCAAACTGGAGCCTGTTGCATTTGAATGCACCACGATGTGTGACTATAGTTTGGGCTTCTGCAGTTTCGGAATCAACTGGCAGCTGTTGATACGCTTGGGCCAGATCTAATTTTGTGAATATTCTGCCACCCCCGAGTGAATGCAAGAGATGTTGAATGACTGGTACTGGATAGGCGCTCGGCTGTAGCACGTGATTGAGGATGGCCTTGTAGTCACCACAGATTCTTAAGGACCCGTCAGGCTTTATGGGGGTGACAATTGGTGTCTCCCATCGGGCGTGGTCAATAGGTTCTAACACACCTTGCGCAATTAATTTGTCCAGTTGCTTGTCAATTTTGGATTTGAGAGCAAAGGGAACTCGGCGTGGCTTTAGGCGAATGGATGCAATGTTGGGGCGAAGATTAAACAAAATAGGGGACCCCGTGTACTTGCCTAGGCTTTCGTTGAACACTTCTCGGAAGTCGTGGATGAGGGCTGCCTCCCAGTCGTTGTCTTCAGTATGATGGATGCCAGCCATTCCGATTCCTAATGGCACGAACTACTGAAGGCCCAATAGACTTGGCCGGTCTCTGTCTATGATGGTGAGTGGTAGAATTGCATTATGTCCCTTGAAAGAGACCTGGAAATCGTGGGTAGCTGCGACTGGAATCCGGTTGCCTTGATAATCTTTCAGTATGAGTCTCTGACTGCTGAGGTCTTGGCGTCGGATGTTGGGAATCAGTTGCTTGAGTGTTTTCCAGGATACCATGGATAGTGATGACCCAGAGTCGACTTCCATGATGCACGGTTTGTTTTCAATGGTGACTGTTACACGGACTTTTTAACGTCAAGTGATGAAGCGTGGCCGATGGTGATGGTTTGATGAGCCTCTTCTCGTCTGGGTGTGCCGTTAAACCTTCGGGGTCTGCTGTACTGGTTCCACTGGTTGCTAGGGCGGTCCCTCTGTGTGGTGGAGTTGCCATCATTCCTCTTTGGGCTGCTCCCTCTCCGTCTGGGGCTGGAATTTCTTTTGTTACTGCATACCTT